TTATAAAAAAAAATAAATTATAACAAATTATAATTATAAAAATATTAATATCTTATAAAAATATATTATAATATATCTTGTGAATAAAAATTCCAAAAATTATGATAAAGACTATTAATTTCAATAGATATTTAACACAAAAAAATTGGAAAATATTATAATTAAAACAAAATTAAAATAAAATTCACAAACAAGATCGATAAAACAAAAAATTATTTTATTTACATTTATATAATTTAAGTTTTATATTTTCTATAAAAGTTTGTAAATTAATAATTTTTTTATTTGTGAAATTCCAGAATGCATTTTGATTTTAAAATATTCCTCATTATACTATTTTTTGTCAAAACAACTTTTTAATTATAATGTGAAAATTAATACTTAAATATTCATTATACTATTATATTTAAATATTTAAAATATAAATTTTATAATAATATTATATAATTTTATATATAATTAATATTTTCTTATTTCTAGAAAATTTATTTCTTTCTATATTTTTTTGAATTTTAAAATTTGTTTCTTTAAAAATCTATTTTTTTACATTATTATTATTTAAAACAACAAAATATCTGATAAGTAAATCATTTGAGAATAATTTATTTGTGAAATAAAATTTTAGAATTGTTTAGTAATCTTTTATATATAATATGAACTATTGTATTATAATGAGAGGCAATTAATATTCATAATGAATATTTGCATGTAAATAATATATTTTATTTTTAAAAATAACAATTCATAATAGATAAACTTCCGAGTGGAATTTCTCGAAAAATCTGTCTATGATTTACCTGCCTATCTGGAATCTTTAGTAGGTCATTCAGTTGAGTACAAAATAGAAGTTTAATGAAGTGGCACTTGTCGAAGGTAGCGAAAGATTACACAATGAAGGAAAAAATGGATAACAATTATCTGAAGGAAATCATCGTAAAATCGATTCTTTCGATATTTATTTATACTTCCTACTTGTCAAATATCAAAAGTGGGAATCCAATGAAAAATGAGGTTTTAATGTTCTTCCGATTTAATCGATTAAAAACAATCGTATCAAGCAATCGTTAACGAGAGAATTACATTCAGATATTGAATTTTAAAATCAAGTTTAAAATATTGATGCGTTTCTTTCTTCATTCAACGATGACGCAATCTTTGTTAATTGTCAAAGAATATCTTCAAGAGATATCTTGAATATAAACAAAAAAAAATTAAATGAAGTAGAGACTGGAATAATAATATCGGCAATATGTGTTGTGCGAATTAAATACTATTTTTCTCGAATCGATGCACGTGTAACAGGTCGTTGAAATGGAATTTTTTTCATCAGAAAAAACATCATAGGATGTGATTATGCAAGATATAAATAGCTATTTAATTGACACGTTCAGAAGTTATAATTACGCGTGCAAATCATTTTGCATCGAATTATCGGACATTGCGTCTTTACAATCATTTCTTTCCTCTTTCCTACCCTGCAGAATCGTGTATTAAATCAGCTTTTCAATCTTATATATATATTTTTTATATCATTTTTAGTACTATTTACTATTTCTTTTAATAATTAATAAGTGATTCATTGCATTATAATTAATATTTCTGTACTTAATAATGAACATCGAATACAGTCATTTTTAAAAGTTAAAAAATTAATTAATAAAAATGCAATAACAAATTTAAACACAGAATCAATAAATGTATATATATTCGTAGATTATGATAATAGTTTTATAATAATATTTTTCAATTTTCTTGAGTTGCTTTTTATTGTAATATTTAAATAACTTGATCTCTCTATAAAACAAGAAAAATTGAAAAAAGTTAATACTTTAAATTAAATAACAGATGTATCATGTTTTCTTTATATTCTTATAAAATATGATATTAAAAAATTATTTTAAAACAAATAAGTATTAAAAATTAGCAGTATTAAATCATACATCACAACCCCTATAAATCGCGATTAAAAGATTGAGAACCACTGTTTCACAAAGAGAGTTCCAAAAACACATGAGATTTAAAAATTTGTTCTTTCGGCACACGACCCCCTCTTAATGACATCCCTGACTCACGTTCATGAATATTCTTAATAACCTTAATCGAGCTTCATGGTCGTAATCAACGTATGCGATTCACTGTCTACCGTAGACTCGATAGCGGACGCGTGTGTTCTTGCTCCTTGCGATATGTTGTATACATCGTTAGAAGGAAGTGGCGCCAATTTATCGGCTGTTTTAATTGCTCTCGATAACCTTCTCCCGGCACACGTAAACTCGATATTCGAGTTCTTACGATATATATATATGATTATCTTAGAAGTCTGACCTCGGGCGATGTATTTTATTTTGTCTGATCGTGGCGAGATCATGTCGAGTATAAAGGAAAAAAGTTTCGTCTATCGTTGAAACCAGTTGAACGAGTGTAATATTAATGTCTGTTGATGTTATGTTTGTTCAGAACACGATGACGAGTTGGAGAAGAACGCTTATCGTGGCAATCATTGGAATCTTATTTCTGGCTGCAATCACTAAATATTCTAAAGCCTGCAACGAAGCGATCTGTGCTAGTGTCGTGAGTAAATGTATGCTCACGCAAAGTTGCAAATGCGATCTCGTTACCTGTACCTGCTGCAAGGAATGCTTTTCTTGTCTTAGTTATCTTTATGATGAATGTTGTTCGTGCGTAGGTAAGTTCTCGCATTTGTATTTTCTATGATTCACTAAATATTATAAAATAAAAAGATTTATATTTTTTAATTGTATTTTCCATAGATCTGTGCCCGAAACCAAATATTACAGATAATCCGTTGAGCAAGAAGTCTCATGTGGAGGATTTTACCGATCCGATGCCAGGTCTGTTTCAAGCGTTAACCGCAGAACCGGATCCGCACGAACGTTGGCTTACATTCACGTTTCCAGTGGATTTTGATATGTCTTTATTTACACCAAAACATGAAAATAAATATACTATGAGTATGTATTATAATTTTTCTCAAATTTCTCGTTTTTTATAAATAAATTTAACACGAAACTCAATAATTTATCTTTAAGATGTTACTCATTTAATTGTCAATTATTTCCATGTGCTTTTATAATTTTATTTATAAATATGACATTTTAAGTCAATATATGTTTATTTAAGAAATAATTTTAATCAGATATGTGTTACTTCTAAAGACAAATTCCTGAATTCTACATAATATATTTATGTAAATTTTATTACTGACGAAAATTGATATTTTTTTCAGAAACTTCTAATGAAGAAGTGCACCCATTGAAACCAAACGTAATGACGGTTAACTGCACCGTTGCATTTATGGCTCAATGTAACTCCTGGAACAAATGTCGGGCGTCTTGCCAGAGCATGGGTGCTAGTAGTTATAGATGGTTCCATGATGGTTGCTGCGAATGTATAGGAGACACTTGTATTAATTATGGAATCAATGAATCGAGATGCATACATTGTCCAATAGACAAAGAAGAAGATGATTTGAAAGATCAATATGATGATTATGGTCAAGATGAAGATGATTTAACAGAAGATGACATCGATTAATAATCATTGGTTTTCTTTTCGATCTCGTGTAACGTTTTCTCGTTAGTGGATTGTATTGAAGTTGAAGTTGTGTTAGGGTGAGTGCAATCCCGGTGACGGTTAATTATTTCAAGAACTCGATCGTAAATAGTGCCGTCATTTATTCGTGATATTCATGAATTCGATACTATATCTATGTGCAAAGACTGTGGTTTTATGATTGATTGACCATTTTATCCTTTTTAAACTTTTTAAAAATTATACAATAAATGATGAACTTAATTCCCTTCAAAAGGGATTCATTTGTTAGCAAATATAATTTAAATCATGATCAGTGAAGTTGGAAACAATTGATTGTTAACGCAGTTAATGATATCGCGTTTAAGTTTAAGTAAAGAAAACAAACAAATGTAATGGCGTTTAGAATTGACTGGTTTTATAATATGACTTTAACGGCATAGCACGTATAAGTCATTATTTTTAAATGTTAAATATGTATGTATGTAAGTAGTACGTGGTGTCATATATTTTATTTTTCTGTGCCATATGAATCAAGTTGTACACATATTAATTCATTTATTAATCCATTGACGTGTATTTGATGCGTCAATTATATCGTTCAGATAAAAACCTTTGTCCAAGTTCCTTTGATTCCTTATCCGTTTTAAAACGATTTGATAAATTTTATAGACGCCTATATTTACATAATATAAAATAATAACATATTTTAGATGATCATAAACGATTCGTTCAATTCATGTGTACATGTGAATAATCAAATCATAAAAAATATAATTTATGTATCATTTAATATTGCATTTGATTATTGCATTAGTATATGATATAAAGATACTATGTGAGATCGAGTAGGAAAATGTTCAATTTTTATTTTCCAATTCATGCAGTCATATGTAATATAAATAACAATAATAGTATAATATCGATACTGAAAATTGTAGATTTCATTAAAACTTACCACATTGAACTAAGAATGGAATTCGGAAAAATTCCATCGGAAAGATATTAACGAATAATTTTTTTCTGAAAATTATTAATAGACTAGAAAAAACAGAGCCAATATCAAATAATTATTTATAAATAAATTCCCGTAGATAATAAAAAATTTACAATCATTTTTTTATAAATTATTCTATTTTAAAGTGTAATTCACTCTTTGAATGATTATATACCGCCTTATCGCGCAATATATTTTATAAACACACTCATTCAATTCTACTTTGTATAGTGAACATTAAATATCGCGTTTTACGCGTAGATTCAATGATCACATAGATTAATTCATATACGCACTATTAACGCGCGTTATTGCATCGTGCTTATAAATATAATAAAAATTACAGCATTCGAAAAAAAGCATAAAAGTGATTTGCCAATAGCATATTTATACAGGTGGATGTTCATCTTGCGTTTCATTGCTTTCTGGCAATTTAATGAAAGGCAAATCGCTGCCGCTCCACATCGAATATAATTGAGATCTCGCGGATTCCTGAAATTATTAATATTAATAGTATAATAAAAATATTTTATAATCTATAAATAAATTGAAATTAATATATAAAAATTATGAGTAATAATAATAATAATAATAATAATAGTAATTATCTTAAACAATAATCATGCATTACCCCACCACCAGCGCTCTCGGAACCTGAACGACTATGGGCTGATATGCAAGAATCTGTTGAAGAACTGTTTTTACGTGAAGCTAGTACATCTATGGTACCTAAAAAAATCAAAATTAAACGTAATTGATTTTGTAAATTATATTCAATATATATACTCACCGAGTTCGATTTCCCTATGATCACTATGTGAATGAATGCTATCTTTGCTGTCACCGTGACTACCACTAGTTCCACTTTGTTCTACACAGTGTACAATAAATAATTTATTGCAGTAATAATGTACAAATAAATTTTAATATACATCAAATTGTACCCGAATCTCGATGTTCTCCACTATGTGCACTATGATCACTTTCTCGTTGTCCTGATTGATCAGAATGATCACTTGAATGAGAATCATGAGGCCAACATCTTGAAGTACCTACTTTTCGAGATCCTGGCCAAATAGTCGAATCATAATTTGATTCAAAATTGCACGTCGTTAATGTAACACCTGGGATATGATGATTTGTATAAGCAGGCAATTGATTCAGAGGTCTAACTCCTATATAAATATTAAAAAATAAAATATATATAAATATACTATAAATTATATGATAATTGTTATTATCATAAATAATTTTTACTTCTTGTCTTACCTGGTTTACAAGATAATAGTTGAATAGCTTCTTGTAAGCCATCTTGACTAGCCATAGCAGATGTTTTCCATATTGTATCTGGAGTAGTAGACCTACTTCTGTCTTGATGAGGTAACCTCAATCGAAATCTAATATCATGTCGTGGCCAATCTGTGATGTTTCTACAATCCCATGGCATAGACCATCTTCTCATTGTATTATCTGATGATTCACCTGACATTTCCGCAGCTGCGGTTTCGGACCATCTCCTCTGAACCTTTTATAAAAAAAAAATATGTAAAAAGAGTTGTGAAATAAATAAATAAAAAAAGAATTTTTAAGAATTAAAATTACCCGCAGAGGAAATAAAGGATATGGTAAAGGTGATCTATGACAATTTTGTACAGATTGTTGTGTTGACATAGAAGATACTAATGGTGATGAACTATACAATCTTTCAAAACATTGCTGAAGAGAAGCAATATCACATTCAGCTGTACCACTCTGAGAACAGGAGCATTCTGCCATTCCACCTAGAAGAATTATTTTGAAGAATCAATTCCAAAAATAAAAATATATTGACTAGAAATCAGTTTCAATTCTTACCTAGACATTCACAGCATGCAACACAGAACTGATATTGTAAATTTATGAATGTCATTAAATTATCTCTAAGTATATCCTGAAAATATGTTAGTCAATAAAAAAATATCAAACAAAATTTTTTTTTAGTTTTTATTTTAAGATTTGTTTCTAAAGATAAGTAAATTTATATATTTATACATACATGTTTTTCTCCTTCATTTTCTCGTGATTCATGATCTCTTAATGCAGAGATAATGTGATTTTTTACTGTAGTGCTGGCTATATATGTTGCTCTTGTAAGCTCTTCCCAACCAGCAAGACATTGTCCTGTTAATCGACATTGTGCTAATGTATTGTGAGCAGACAAAAGTGTTTGTAATGATTGAGTCAATTTTGTACCCGCTGTGCATAGGCCATTGAGCGTCTACAATAAATAACATAATTTGTTTTTGCATACTTTAATATAAGAATCATTGAAAATATACAAACCTGTAAATACACTAGCCAATTACCAAGACATTCATTTACTTCCAATTGTAATTTAGATATTTGATTATCACTAGGCTTTGGTTCTATTCCACCTTCTGCCATACTTACATTCTTCTAAAACCTGTATTTGGATTAATAAATCACCTATTAGCACAACAAAATATAAAAATATACGATTGACCTCTGTTATTAAGAATTACTTTAAAATATCACCAAAAATAATGTATAACTAACATAAAATATTTACAATAGAAATTATATTTATAATTAAGTAATAAGAATTAAGCTAGAATAATAACAAATACAATAATAATAATGTTCCAGAATGATAATTTTATTATAATAAATAAAATCTCAAAGATTGAAAATAACAATATTGTAACAGAAAATATTATAAGTTAATCACTTACATATTTTTTTCATCATATGCTGTATTCTCAATACTAGATTAATAGAGGAAATAAAAATCACAGTTTTGGCGTTGATATTGAAACACGGTTACCGGCACCATTGCTATTCGCCTCGTGCATACCTCAGCACTCGAATTGAACGATGCAAAAACCAAAGAGATTCCTGTGTATACGGTTACACTCATCTGTAGTTGTATTTTTCAACAAGACGTTTAATACGAAATATCTTGTCCAGATGCCGCCATTTGTACTCATTCGGTACGAAGAATCAAATGATCTTTTGAATTTAGTGATGCACAATCTTAATTACATTCCGAATACAACATTTATAGTTTATACTAATTTTATAATATTATTGTATTTTATCTTTTTCTATTATATTTTTACAATATATTTTTATACAAAAAATATTTTTTTATAAATAAGAAATATTGAAAATGAAAATGTAAAATTATTATATTATAAAATATGCACGAAAATAATGATAATTTATAATAATTAGTGATTAAAAATATAGAACAAAATTTTTTACTATATATATAATAAGTTCATAGAAAATATAATAAAAAATTGATTGAAAAGTTCTTTAGACATTATTGTTGTACAATAAACTTAATTTTTAGTTCAAGTTTGAACAAACAATATTGTGTTTTTAGTAAAAATTTTTTATTCATGCCAATTTGTTATCCTCTTATTATTAATATAAAAATTAATAAAAGGAATAAAAAACAAGAAAGTACTTAACTTGGTTTCAATCACTTTTTGCATAATTGAAATATTTAAATATATAATATATCATTAAATAATTCTAAATAATTATAAATGGAACGAGGTTAAATATATTTTAATTAATCACGTAATATATATATACATATTAAATACATATATCGAATTAAAATAAAATTAATAAGAAAAATCAGAACATTATCAAATTTTAATATTCATTCAATGCTAATGCTTATATATTTTTCTTTTAAATTTAATTATGTTTATACATGTTTATGATTAATTTTGATTATTTATCTTCCCTATTAATCAAATTATGTATTGTTTCGTTTATTTGAGAAATCGAGAGAAGACACGAGGCTTATCGAGGTGAAAGGGGCTCAAGCGCGTGGTGACGTAGTGTTGATACAAAAAAGAGAAAGATAGAATAGCAAATCGGAAAGAAGATAAAAGAAGGAAAAAGAGAAAGATTGAAAAGAGAGAAGAAACCGATCGTAATGGAAACGCGATCGTGCGCGAGGGACATCATGGGTAAGTGGGGAGAATGATGTGGTAAGAAAGATAGAAGGGAGGGGCTTAACGGTAAAGTCGGTATAACCTTATAGTAATGTTTTTCAATTTTTTTTTTTTTTATTACTACCCTGATGCTTGAATATACCCTTTTGCGGTTTCTCCTTACAATGGAATGTTTTCTCATGTATGAGAACCATTATTGTGATAAGTAATAGAATCTGAAAACAATGCCGTCAATTTAAATGCATGTCCAAAAATATTTATATTCCAAATTTTTTGTTATTTTTAAAAAAGATATTAATTACAAAGTAATGACTAGTCTTAAAATAGATATAATTCAAACTTTATTTTATTTTTGGTTTCTTTGTTCATTATTCTGTGGTAATGATTCACATAATTATCATTTTAAGAAAACAATATATATTAAGTAGAAAGAATTAAAAGAAAACAGTAATAAATATATATTATAATGTTTGAACGTGATTATTTAAATTTAAAAAATCATTTAAAAAATTCAATCGTAATTTTAATAAATAGGAAAAAATGTGATTATGAAAATCTGAAAATAAAAAGTAATTTGCAATTTAAAAATCCATTTAGTGGAATTCTTAGGAATAATAAAAAATGAAATAAAAAATACTTTATAACTTGTTCAGTTTTGAGATAGTATGATAATAACGTGTCAATCGTGCACGTGTCAGATACGTACAAGGAAGCAATTACTTCTAAATCAATTGTTACCCCTGCGGAATTATTCTACTAATGTGCAACTCTATGTATAACTGTATGCAAGTAAAAGTTGTAGCTGCTTGATCATGCGCAGACTGTTTTACCTTGGGAATGTATGGATATGAATATGCACAAGTAAATACATATATATATTTAGTAAAAATCCGTAGCAATCATGAACAAACTAATAATCTACTTGATCTCAAAGCAAACAATATTAAAAAATAAAGTCAATTCAATTTTCACTTAAAATCGCATAATGATCATTCGAATAATTTTCTTTCATATAATAATATAATTAAATACAAGTAACTATTAGTAATAATATTAATAATATTAATAATTTAGTTTAAAAGATTGATCAATGAAGGATTGATAGATATGATTTAATATTTTTTATTAAAAATAGAATATCAAAAATAAAAAAAGAAAATAAAATAAATATTCTTTAATAATCTTAATAGAATCTATGTAAATATTTTTTATAAAAATATCATTTTGTAAAAATCTTAAGTTTTAGATCATAAGAAAATGGAATCTTTCGTTAAAAAAAAATATTTAATATTATAATTTAACTATGTAAATTTTACTATGATATAAAATCGTGATTTTTTTTTCATTAAAATAATAATAAATGGATTATTATTTTAAGTATTAAACTTTTTATTTTAAGTAATCAAAAATTATATACAAAAATATTGTTTTCCGCTCTTTTTTTTAAATTCGCAAGTTAAATCTAATATGCAATCAATTTAAATTTAATCATATATTATCACATTTTATTACAAAAATGATTCTATTTTATTTTATTTTCATTTGTATGTAAAAATTATTTTCACAAAATAATAAAAACATAACATAAACATAAAAAATTACACTTCGATACAACAGTGAAACAAAATCTAAATTACTATAATAC